CTCACCTCAGCCTCCCAAAGGCGCGTGATTACAGGCTGAGCCACCGAGCCCGGCTTTTTTGTATGTGTGTGTGTTGGATTCTCACTTTGTTGCCCAGGCTGAGGTGCAGTAGCACACCACTGTAGCCTCTACCGACGGGGCTCCGGTGATCCTTCCACCTCAGCCTTCCAAGTAGCTAGAACTACGGGCACACGCCACCATGCCAATTTTTTTATTTATTGTAGAAATGAGGTTTTGCCAAGTTGCCTAGATTGGTCTCGAACCCGTGGGCTCAGGCCTCCCAAGTGCTCCCTAAGGCCTCCCAAAGTGCTCTCACCTCAGCCTCCCAAAGTGCTGGGATTACAGGCGTGAGCCACAATACCCAGCGATAAATAGATGTATTAACAGAAAGAGGCCAGGCTTGGTGGGTCAGCCTGTAATCCCAGCACTTTGGGAGGCCAAGGCGATTGCCTGAGCTGGCAGGTTTGAGACCCACCCTGGCAACTTGGTGAGACCTCGTCTCTACAATAAATAAAAAATTAGCCAGGCGTGATAGCGTGCACCTGTAGTTCGGGCTACTTGGAAGGCTGAGGCAGGAGGATCAGGAGCCCAGTGGGTCGAGGCTGCGGTGGCCCGAAGCATGCCACTGCACTACAGTCTGGGCAACAGAATGGGACTCCAACTCAAAAAACAAAAAAGAAAGAAAGAATGAAAGATGCTGTCCACTGCTTTCTGGCTGAATTTTATAATTGGGCATTTGAAATCAACAAGGGAGAAACTTGATCAAAGACATAACATGGTGAGGAAGTTAGAACTCTAGGTATCTAGAGTAAGAGCATTTCAGGTGGAGGGAATCATTGATGTGAAGACCTTAAGGAAGGGATGTGCTTGCCCGGTATAAGAATTTGCTGGGGGTTAGTGAGGCTGGGGCACATTATACAAGGAGGAGAGTAGTGAGAGATGCCTTCCCCAACAGAAGTTAACAGGAAACATCAAACTTTTTGTGGCTTTGAGTTTTATAGACTCTATTTTTTTTCATTTGGCTTGAAATTTATAATGAAATTTATAATGATTCCTTAAATCTCAGGTGATAAATGCTATCGGTTGTAAGATGACTCCTTTGTAAAGGACCAAACAGTAATTCTTCAAAGTTTTGTAGGTGATATAGTCTCTGTAACAACTCAGCTTTGCCGTTGTAGTGCAAAAGCATCATAAACAATATGGGAATGGATGATCATGGCTATGTTTCAATAAAACTTCATTTTATTCATAACTGAAATTTGAATTTCATTTAATGTGTATGTATCATGAAATATTACTGCTCTGTTGACTTTTTTCTAACCTTAAAAAATGTTTTAAAAACATTCTTACTTTGTAGGCTATTTAAAAACAGTTGACAGGCTAGATTTAGCTTGTGGGCTTTGGCATTCCACTTGTTCTAGATCCATGCTGTCCAGTTAGTAGACATATAATGTGAACCACATAGAGAATTTTAAATTTCCTAGTAAACACATTAAAAAATATAACTAAACAGGTGAAATCAATCTTAGTAAATAATGTATTTTATTTAACCTAATATGCCAAAATATCATTTTATTATGTAATTAATATAAAATACGATAAATTCAATAGTTTACTAATTTTGTGTACTAAATCTTCAAAATCTGGTGTGCATTTTACACTTAGAGGACATCTTAGTTCAGACTACCCACATTTCAAGTGTTCAGTAAACACGTGGATGGAGGCTACTATACAGGATAGTACCGATCTAGCTATTCTTATATTTCTGGATAAAGCATGTAGAGATGAATCCCATTTTGGAGACACAAAGCAGTTTTAGGCAGGAGTTTCCTTCAAATGACATGGCTGTTTCCTTGATAGTAATTAATCAGATTTCCTTTGTTTAATTTTCATCTTCTTTGATGTGTTTTTCCGATTCCTTCTGGTTTGAACTAGCCTCTTCTGATTTGCTTCGTCTATTTCAGTGTAGATTCATCCATTTCACTCTAGTTCTGTGTGTGTTATCTTTTTTTTAAAAAAATGATTTATTATTCTTTGTTAATGTTTCTAGTGTTTTCATTTATTCTTAGCTAGTCAGTTTAATTAGAAGTTGTTTTTTATTTTTTTCTGGTCATGTTATTCTCTCTCCCACTGTTAATACATTTAAGTGGTTCAGAGGAAAACATTTAAATAACCTGGTTCAAATTAATCTTGACTTTGAAAGTGTGGATCCCAATTGCATTCCTAAAATTGTTTCCTTTGTTTTGCCCGACACCCTAATATTCTGTGGTGCTCCAGCCTGTTGTGTCTCTCCTTTGGGCTTTTTTCCTTTCATTGGATTGCAGATGTCCTTTGGAATTTGTGTTTCATGTTCTTTCTCTTTGTATTCACACCCTTTACCAATTTGTGAACTCTGATGACTTTCCTCATCACATACTGTAATGAATCCATTTTCTATCACTATCTCACCTGTGCTTTATCTTGATATTTCTATTTGACTACAAAACATCACAAGTTTACTCTCAAAGTTAGAAAAATTGAGAGCATAGTATTTTTCCTTAAAATTAGTCTTTGTTCTTTTTCTTCACATATTTAGTGGTGTAATGTCTCTTCTTCAAGGACACTTTCGGAAATAAATGGTTGAGTTATTTAAAGCCTTCACCCGGAAGATACTTTAGTAAGTCTAGCCTAAGTAATACTGTGTTAACAAAGAACCCCAGTACTTCAGTGGCTTGCGGTCACAAATATTTATTACTCACTTATGTTACTTCTTTTTTTTTTTTTTTTTTTTTTTCAGAATCTCCTTGTCACCCAGGCTGGAGTGCAGTGACACACTCTTGGCCATCACTGCCTCAACCAGCTGGGATCAGGCGATCCTTCCAGCCTCAGCCTTCCAAGTAACTGCAACCACAGGCACATGCCACCACGCCTGGCTAATTTTTGTTGTTGTTGTTGTAGAGACAAGGTCTCACCAAGTTGCCCAGGCTGGTCTCAATCCCCTGGCCTCAAGCAATCCTTTCACCTCGCTTCCCAAAGTACTGGAATTATAGTCGTGAGCCACCGTGCCCAGCTATATTACCTCTTGCCTGCAGTTTAGGAGTGGCTCAAATGTATTGATTCTGGGATCCAAGCAAAAAGAACAGCCTCTATCTGGGTCATCAGATTCTCAAGGTATAGGAAAAAAGGGCAATGATGGAACCATATTGTGACTCTTAAAACTTGTTTGAGCCGGGCTCGGTGGCTCAGCCTGTAATCCTGCGCCTTTGGGAGGCTGAGGTAAGTGGATTGCCTGAGCCCGCGGGTTCAAGACCCGCCTGGGCAGGCGAGACCTCATCTCTACAATAAAATAAAAAATTAACTGGGCGTGGTAGCACGCACCTGTAGTTCCAGCTACTCAGAAGGCTGAGGCGGAAGGATCGCTGGAGCCCAGCAGGTTGAGGTTGCGGTGGCCGGGAGCGGCCACTGCACTCCAGTCTGGGCGACAGAGTGAGACTCCAACTCAAAAAAAAAAAAAAAAGAAAAGAAAAGAAAAAAAAAAAACTTGTTTGAAAGTGCACTAACTTCCCACTAACCTTCACTGGCCAAAGCAAATCCCACAGCCAAATTGATGTCATTGTGGCAAGAAAGATAATCCTTTATAGATGGGCACTATGGGGAGAAATAGCAAATATTTGATCAAAATAAATTTATTGCAAGAGGGAAGCTTAACTTGAATATAATAAAAGAAAGAAGGGTCCAGGCACGGTGGCTCACACCTATAATACCAGCACTTTGAGAGGCTAGGTGAGAGCATTGCCTGAGCAAAGGAGTTTAAGACCAGCCTGGGCAACTTGGTGAGACCTTGTCTCTACAATAAATCAAGAAAAATGAGCCAGGTATGGTGGCACATTCCTGTAGTGACAGCTACTTGGAAGACTGAAGTGGAAGGATTGCCTGAACCCAGCAGGCTGAGGCTGAGGTGACCGTGAACATGCCACTGCACTCTAGCCTGGGTAACAGAATGACTTGACTCAAAAAGAAATAGGATTGTGAATCTCACTGGGGTCTAGGAGGAGCATGAATCATCAAGATTTAAGTTATTACTATATTACTTAATCATTCTTCCTGTCTCCCTTTTTTTGCCAAATTATTTTCTTTTAAAGTGTTTTTTTGTTTTTTTTTAATCTGGGCTCAGCTCAGCCTGTAATCCTGCACCTTGGGAGACTGAGGTGAGTGGATTGCCTGAGTCTGCGGGTTCAAGAACCACTTGGGCAACTTGGTGAGACTTCATATCTACAATAAGTCAAAAAAACTAGCCGGGTGTGGTAGCACGCACCTGTAGTTCCAGCTACTTGGAAGGCTGAGGTGGAAGGATTGCTTGAGCCCAGCCAAGCCCAGCAGGTCAAGGCTGCAGTGGCAGTAGTGTGCCACTGCACTCCAGCCTGGGTGACAGAGTGAGACTCCAACTCAAAAAAAAAGTGTTTTTTTGTTGTTGTTATTGTTGTTGTCTCACTCTATCACCCAGGCTGGAGTGCAGTGGCACACTACTCACAGCCACCGCAGCCTTGGCCTGCTGGGCTCAGGCGGTCCTTCCATATCAGCTTTCCAAGTAGCTGGAACTACAGCCACGTACTACCACATCTGACTAATTTTTTGATTTATTGTAGAGACAAGGTCTCCAATTTGCCCTGGCTGGTTTCGAACCTGTGGGCTCAGGCAGTCCTCTCACCCTGGCCTCCCAAAGAGCTGGGATTATAGGTGTGAGCCACCATGCCCAGCCCTAAAGTTTTTGTTTTTTAATTGAAATACCTTTGGTGGATACAAGTAGTTTTTGGTATGGCCTTAAGAGTACTCACCACCTCTCCCTGTGTATGTTGTCACAACAGGTAATGCTTTTGTTTTTCCATTCCCTACCTTCTGAGTCTCCAGTGTCCATTATACCATTCTTTATGTCAACCCATATCCTTAGTTTGAGGAAGATACCTCTGAACTGATAATGGAGCAAATTGTAGTGAAAATAGCTAGTTGCAAAGCATATTTTATTTATTTGTTTATTTATTTATTTATTTATTTTTTTGAGTTAGAATCTTACTCTGTTTCCCAGGCTGTAGTACTGTGGCACGCTCATGCCACTGCAGCCTCAACCTACTGGACTCAGCTGATCCTTCTCCTCAGCCTTCCAAGTAACTGGAACTACAGGCATATGAGATCACAGCTTATTTTTTGATTTATTGTAGAGACAAGGTCTTGCCAAATTGTCCAGGCTGGTCTTGAACCCCTGAACTCAGGCAGTTCTCTCACCTCGGCCTCCCAAAGTGCTGGGATTACAGGCTTGAGTCACCACGCCTGGTCTACATAATATTTTAAAAAGTGAAAAATTAGGAGAAATTAGAATTTACATATATGTTTCTTTTTTTTTTCTTGCACAAGGTAACTCAAGATGAATAAACCAGAAACTAATGAGATTGGTTACTTGTGAATTTCTGAGTAGTATTTTACTTTTGAAACATACTTGAGTTTTAAATACTCAAAGAAAAGAATGACCTCAACAAAGAGGGAAAATCCCTAAAATGGAATACAAGGAGAAACAAACCGACCTGTTTCAAAATAATGTGACCTCAGGGAACAGGGGAAAACCCCAGTTAACTTTTGAATAGAGAGTTTTGATCACATTTCCATAGTAAGACAGGGGTTGGCAAAGTATGGCCTTGCTGTCTATTTTTATAAAAAAAGATTTTTGGAACATGACCATACTCTTTCGTGTAATGTATTGTTTATGGCTACTTTTCTTCTACAATGGCTGAGTTCAATGGTTGTGATATAGAGCATGTGATATAAAGCCTCAAATTTACAAAAAATTGGCCAACTCCTTTATTGAAAAATTTCATATAAATCTTGAAGTATATTTTATTTTTATTTTTTTGAGTTAGAGTCTCACTGACGTCCAGGCTGGAGTGCATTGGCATGCTCATGGCCACCGCAGCCTTGACCTGCCAAACTCAGGCCATCCTTCCACCTCAGCCTTCCAAGTAGCTGGAACTACAAGCATGTACCACCACACCCAGCTAATTTTTTAATTTATTGTAGAGATGAGGTCTCACCACGTTGCCCAGGCTGGTCTCAAACCCATGGACTCGGGCAGTCCCCTCACCTCGGCCTCCCAAAGTGCTGGGATTATAGACATGAGCCACTGGACCTGGCATATTTTTTTTCCATTTGTTTTTTTAAAATGGGACTTCCTGTCACCCTTGCTGGAGTGTAGTGTAGTGGTTGTGATTCTGGCTCACTGCAACCTTCACTTTGCGGATCACTTGATCCTCTCACCTCAGAATCCCAAGAAACTCGGGCTATAGGTGTGTACTACCACATGTGACTGATTTTTTAAGTTTATATGCAAATGAGGTCACACTGTTTCTCAGACTAATCTGGAACTCCTGGGTTCAAGCAATTCTCCTGCCTCGGCTTCCCAAAGTACTGGTATTACAGTCATGAGCCATCACACCTGGCCTCAAGCTGCAGTTTATATATTTTTTATTAGGATCGTGGGTCAGCTATTCTAAATCTACATTCCTCGTATTTTAAGATAAAGCAAATGAATAAATAATATTGATGATGTTGAGAGCCAAGTTTCTCAACTATATAGTTTTTCTTTAGAAATAAGTACTGAATTATGTGGCAAAGGGGTGTGATATAAGCAAAGTTTCTCAATATGGTCTCTGTGAATCTAAAGTATCTTTAGTGAAATGATGATACTTTATTAGTAAGACAGAGAGATTAGAATTATAATGAGTATACATGAAGTTCCTTTACCAGGGTGTTAACTGTAATGAGCTTGTGGTTCCTGTGTTTAACACAGAGTAGACACAAATAGGATGTCTTCTCCTAATGAAATACTCAGTGATATAGGGTATAGCAGACTGGTCTGAATGATCTGGGATGCTTCTGAATAAGCCAGAGGGACAGCAGCAAGTCACAGTCAAAAAATCAAGACTTAAAATTCAGGTCACACAATTCTAGAATTACCACAAAGTCTTTAAAAAATTTTTTATATTAATTTATTTTTATGTTTATTTTTTATTTTTCAGATAGGGTCTCACTCTGTCATTCAGGCTTGAGTGCAGTGGCATGATCATGGCTCACCACAGCCTGGAACTCCTGGCCTCAAGTGATCTTCCTGTCTCAGCCTCCTGAGTAGCTGGGACTACCTCCAGCTATTTTTCCTATGTCTATATAAACCTTTTTGTAGAGATGAGTTCTCAATTTGTTGCCCAGGCTGGTCTTGAACTCCTGGGTTCAAGCAGTCCTCCCCTCTCAGCCTCCCAGAGTGCTGGGATTATAGATATGAGCCATTGTGCCCAGCTTTAGAATTACCACAAATTTTTATAGGAGATGACTGTCAGAAATAGAAACAAGTTATGTGTCATGGGTGCTTTGAGAATCCGAGTAAACAAAATATACTCCGAGAGTGCTCAGGCAGAGCAGCCAGAACCTGATGGCTGCTGAGAGACTGGCCCATGGCAAGGCTGTCAGACAAGCAACTCTGGGCACACAGGGCTTGGTCCAAGCACTGTTGTGTTCCTATGGCAGTCCAGCAGTTCTATAACTGTTGAGTGCCTTGCCAGAGCAACCAAAGGGAAAACACATCATCAAAAACTACAGCAAAGATTACCAAGGGTCAAAAGATCAAAGGACTCACAGTTCATTTACTTTATAGACAAGAAGACACACCAGTGAAAAATGTACTGGTACGTGTAGTTTGGTAAAGGGAAAAACATGACAGGTTTTAACTATTATTTTATGGTTTCATGTGGTGTTTATTGTAAAGGTTTGAAAGCGAGCACTCTGGATAGACACAGGCACCGACACAGTTGATTATAAAGATTCCACTGTTAATTAGTCAGGCAGGAGCCTTCAGTGAGATGCCACAGGGTTTTGGGGCCAAGTACATGGTTGTTTGTCAGTATCAATTGACTAGATCCAACTGTGATGGAATACACCATCTAGTGGCGGGCATGGTGGCTCATGCCTGTAATCCTAGCACTATGGGAGGCGCTGGTGAGAGGATTGCTTGACCCAGGGGTTCAAGACGAGCCTGTGCAACTTGGTGAGACTTCATCTCTACAGTAAATCAAAACATTAGTATAGTGACTTGCACCTGAATTTCCAGCTACTTGGAAGACTGAGGTGGAAGGATTGCCTGAGTCCAGCAGGTCAAGGTTGAAGTACCTGTGGGTGGGCCACTGCATTTCAGCCTGGGTGACAGATTGAGACTCAGACTCAAAAAACAAAAACAAAATCTAGTTTTGTTATAAGAAAAACAGAAAGAAGGGCAAGTTTTGGATTGGCTTGGTACCAGAATTCTAAAATCATGGACCATATCTTTCTTGTTCACTTTTGAATCCACAATACTTAGTAGAGTACCTAGTATTTAGAAATTGTTCAACCAGGCGCAGTGGTTCACGCCTATATTCCCAGCACTTTAGGAGACCAAGATGAGAGGATTGCCTGAGCCCATGAGTTCGAGACCAGCCTAGGCAACTTGGTGAGACCTCATCTCTACAATAAATCAAAAAAATTAGCCAGACGTGGTGGCACATGCCTGTAGTTCCAGTTACTTGGAAGACTGTGGCAGAAGGATCACCTAAGCCCAGCAGGTCAAGGCTGCAGTGGCTGTGAGCATGGCACTGCACTCCAGCCTGTGTGACAGAGTAAGACTCTGACTCAAAAAAAAAAAAAAAAAATTGTCCAATAAGTCTGGACATCCTGAAATTAACATTTATTTCATATTCAACACTCTCTTTAACCAGTATTTCATATATATTTCTCCTGTGTTAGGAAGCCCTCCAGGCTGAGGGACATTTATTGTCAAGTCCAGTTTTTTTGTTTGTTTTTTTGAGTTGGGAATCATCTTATTCTGTCACCTAGGCTGGAGTGCAGTGGCATGCTCATGGCCACCGCAACCTCAACCTGCTAGGCTCAGGCTATCCTTCCACCTCAGCCTTCCAAGTAGCTGGAACTACAGGTACGCACCACCATACCCACTTAATTTTTTGATTTATTATAGAGACGAGGTCTCATCAAGTTGCCCAGGCTGGTCTCGAGCCCCTGGACTCTGGCAGTACTGTTGCCTTGGCCTGCCAAAGTGCTAGGATTACAGACTTGAGCCATTGTGTCCAGCCAGTCTGTTTTTATACTAAGAAAAGTGATGACGATTCCCACATGTCATAGAGACCATTATCTCCAAGCAGAGCAAATAGTTGTGGACAGTTTATATCCATGTAAGTGTATATGGCTTAGATGATTTAAAAAAGAAGGAAAATGTTATCTATGATTGAAGCTGCTCTGCTCTGTATGGTTCCTAGTCTGACATACAGATGTTTTCGGGGTGATTTTTCTGCATTGCAATAGGAAATGTGATACATAAAAATGGAATGTAAAGGAATTATTGTAAAAAGCAAATTGTATTGCCAATGACAGTCATGGCATTAGGAAACTCTCTGTCCTAAGACGAGGCAGAACAGACCAGCAGCTCCACTGATGGTTTCTCTAACTGAAAACTTTCTTTCTTCAGCAGAACCCAAAGTCAGAAATCCACCCTTGTTCTTCCTGCCTACTGGTCTCCTCCTGTCAGCAATTCCTCAGCCAACACACACTTCAGATTTTCCGGGGCTTATGTGCAGAAAATCACTCCCATCTGAGGAATTCCAGCTCAGGGCATCAGTATTCTGATCAGAACTGCTGGAGTGAAAATGCAGACGGAAGGTGGCTCTAACCCCTGGTCTTCAAGGACAGAGGAGAGGGAGACATCATGCGTGTTTCTCATCCCACTCCAACCACAGTCAGCAAGTCCTAAAGAAGGCAACATGATGGTAGAAATAGAGCCCCACTCAGCCCAAAGGGTAAAACCTGTGCAATCAGACAAAGGAATGAAGGAATTAGAAGTCTCGAGATTTGGAGCGATCAACTGTAGAGAATGTGAGCCAAACTCTAACTCAGAATCAAACTTCATTAGAAACTCCAGGACCTTCCTAGGAGAGAAGCCCTATGTTTGCAGTGATTGTGGGCGACACTTTAACCAAAAGTCCATCCTCAACAGACACCAGAGAGTACATTCAGAAGAGATGCCTTATCTGTGCAAGGAGTGTGGGAAGAGCTTTAGAAAGAAGTTCATCGTTAATCATCATCAGTGGACTCACTCAGGGGAGAAGCCCTATGTTTGCAGCAAGTGTGGGCGAGGCTTTAGGTGGAAGTCACTTCTCATCAGACACCAGAGGTTACACTCTGGGGAGAAGCCTTATGTCTGCAGGAAATGTAGGCGAGGCTTTGGCCATAATTCAAATCTCATCAAATACCTTAGGTTTCACTCAGGGGAGAAGCTTTTTATCTGTAGTGACTGTGGGCAAGGCTTTGGCCAGAACTCACAACTTATCAGATACCAGAGATCATACTCAGAGGAGAAACCTTATGTCTGCAGGGAATGTGGGCAAGGCTTTAGCTATAATTCACATCTCATCAAACACCAGAGATTACATTCAGGGGAGAAGCCTTTTGTCTGCAGCGACTAGGCTTTAGCAGGAAATCACACTTTATTATCCACCAGAAAACACATTCAGGGAAGAAGCCTTATTTTTGCAGTGAGTGTGGGTGAGGCTTCAACCAGAATTCAAATCCCATGAGACATCAGAGGATGTACTCAAGGTGAAAGCCCTATGTTTGGAATGAGTATGGACAAGGCTTTAGCCAGAAGTCAAATCTCCTCAAACACCAGACATCACACTTAGGGAAGAAGGCTTTTGTCTGCTGGGTCTGTGGGTGAGGCTTTAGGTTAAAATCAGAAGTACTTACCCACCAGAGGACACACCTAGGGGAGAAGCCTTAATGTCCGCAGGGACTGTGGGCAAGGCTATAACCAGAAGTCAAATCTCAAATTTAGTCTTTCTAAGTTTTGTTCCCCTCATTATAATGATATTTTCTTATGGTATTGTTGGCAGTCCTCTCACCTCAGCCTCCCAAAGTGCTGGGATTATAGGCATGAGCCACTGAGCCCTGCCATTTTTTTTTTTGTAACTGGCCTAAGACACAAAGATTTTAAATTTTACTAAAACAGTTCCTGGCTGAGTGCAGTGGCTCATGCCAGTAATCCCAGCACTTTGGGAGGCTGAGGTGAGAAGATTGCCTGAGCCCACAGGTTCAATACTAGCCTGGGCAACTTGGCGAGACCTCATCTCTACAACTAATCAAAAAATTAGCCAGGCGTGGTGGTGCATGCCTGTAGTTCCAACTACTTGGAAGGCTGAGGTGCCATGGCTCTTGCCTGTAATCCCAGCACTTTGAGAGGGGGAGGTGAGAGGATTGCCTGAGGCCAGGGGTTTGAGACCAGCCTGGGCAATTTGATAAGACCATCTCTATAATAAATCAAAAAACTAGCTGGGCATGGTGGCACGTGCCTGTAGTTCCAGCTACTTGGAAGGCTGAGACTGAAGAATTTTCTGAGCCCTGTAGATCGTGGTTGTGGTGGCCACTGAGCCCGGCTTGGACATAATCTTTTTTCTGTAATGTGAATCTCATACCTTCTAGGCCAGTGCTTTTCAATTGGAGATGCACATCAGACTTAATTTGAAGTTTTGTTAAAATATAGATGCTTATGACCTACTCCAGACATACTGAATTTCTTTACTTGATAGTCTTCGTATGTTCTTGACATTTTTTTAATATATATTTGTGATATTCTTGGTATGTTATATATATTAAGTCTGGATAATTATATGTTTTACCTCACAATTTATTTCTCTAAAAAAATGCTTATCCATCAATAAATCAGATATAAAATTCATTTCATATGAAAACATGCTTAGGTATTATAGATATTTTGCCCCCTTTTATTTTTATTTTTGAGTCAGAGTCTCACTCTGTCCCCCAGACTGGAGTGCAGTGGCATGCTCACGGCCACTGCAGCCTTGGCCTGCTGGGCTCCGGCGATCCTTCTGCCTCAGCCTTCCAAGTAGCTGGAACTACAGGCATGCGCTACCATGCCTGGCTAATATTTTTATTGTAGAGACAAGGTCTCACCACATTGCCGAGCCTGGTCTCAAACCCAAGGGTTAAGGCAATCCTCTCACCTCCGTCTCCCAAAGATCTGGGATTACTGACTTAAGCCACCATGCTCAGCTGCCCAAAACTTTTAAGATGCCTTTACTATGTTTTGCATGCTACAGAACTATCCAAAATTTCCTGTCAGTATCATTGTTGTTATGAAATGGTTCACTTTTGAAAATTTTCAGTAATAAGTTACCCACAAATATTTTGTCTCTGCTATCTCCACTTTTTGTTGTTCCCAAACAAACAAACCAAAAAAACGCCTCCAGAGTTTTTGTCTTCAATAAAGAACTATTTCAGAACCCTAACAGGAGGGACCCTATCAGGTAACAACACAGCAGTGAAACTCCAGGAGTTGATTTTGTATTCATATATTCATTAAACTGAAGAGACATAAACCATCCTCTGTTTTCTATTATTTTACCTACCTGCTGTCCTCTGACTTTTGGCTACTTTAACTGTGTAACCTATAAGACCTCTTTTTAATATTGCTGTTTACATCCTTAATGACTCTTTGGTATGAGTTCAAAACCTAGCTACAATTAACCCAGGAAATGGTTAGAGTGCACTTTTTTCTTTGGGAACCACCCAGTTTCCTTTGGTTTTATTTCCTTGTAAGAAATCAGTTATAGAAATTGACCTTCCATGTGACCCCTTACTGGGAATATACCTGGAGGAACTCAGAACATTCTACAAAAAAAGATAACTGCATATTCATGTTTCTTGCAGCACTCTTCACAATAGCAAAAACATGGAACCAACCATGCTGCCCACTGAAACTGGACTAGATTTTTAAAATGTGGTTCATATACACAGTGGTATATTAGCCAAAAGAAGGACAAACAGACTGCACAGCAACTTGGATAGATTTAGTCTATAATACTCAGCAATCTATCATATAAACAAATAACTGTGTACCACATGTTCTCACTCATAGGTGAACCCTGAATGTTTACTATCATACTGTAAGAAAGGGATTGGCAGTAATGGGAAACTGCCAGGGGAATGGTGGGAGGGGGGAATACAGCATTAGTATGGGAACCTGACCTCAAATCAGGTAAAGTGGGGAACAAAGGGAGGCCCAACCTTACCTGTACAATGATCACTTGTATACCTAATTCTGAATTGTACCCCACATCTTTAAAAAAAAAAAAAAATCAGTGAGGTTTCTGGGTACCTGAACTTAATTATTGGGTAATTTTTTAGGTGGCACTTCCACAATAGGTCAGATGGTGAGAAATCCAAAACCATCATATCCTTCATGGGCTCTGCCTTTACCAAAACATTTCACAATGCTGTTTTATGAGAACTAGTCTTCCTAACCAAACTTTCACTGAGAGAGAACTTGGAAGAGGATTGGAAAACAGGTGGTATGTATTTGGAGATTGTCTCACTTTCAAGTAAGATATACTTTTTTTTCTTTTTAAAAAAAAATTTTTATCTTAAGGATGAGTATGTTAGGTATGGAGGGTCTGGAGGGGGCACAGCACTGCTAGTAACCAGAGATCCGAGTAACATAACACAAAGATTTGTAACACAAAGAGATGAAGAAAGAAAAGATTTATTTAAAAAGAGATCACCTGTAGTTCCAGCTACTTGGAAGGCTGAGGCGGAAGGATCACAGGAACCCAGCAGGATGACGCTGAGTTGGCTGTGAGCCTGCCACTGCATTCCAGCCTGGGCCACATTGACTCCTACTCAAAAAAAAAAAAAAAGAAAATCACTTCCCACATGTGGCCATCTGGGGTGCGATCAGATGCCACATGAAAGTTGTAAAGAACTACACAGAAGTTAGATTTTAAAATATAGTTTATTTAAAAGTAAAGTAGAGAAAGAGAAGGGAGAGAGAAGATTCACCTCTCCAAGTTGGGGGAGGGGGCCAAAGCCAGGAAGCATGACTACAGCCATAGTTTAAGCACATGGCCACACCAGAGTCAAGCAAGGCAATATGGCAAATGGCTACTTGTGGTTGAGTCCTTTTAACCATTCCCCTTGATGGGAGAAGATCAGTAAGGTGATCGGGTGGTGGTCTGCTTCATGTCATCACGAAGGGGCAGGTAAGCGCAGATACTGGCGTCAGGTGATGGACCTCATGCAGATAGGTGGGTTAGTCTCATGATTGCTGCCATGGTGTGGTCTGTCTGTGTCACATAGGTCACAAAGGGCTGATTAGGTTAACTTGGGGTTTGGGCTCCGAGGGGTTTTTTCCTGCAAGAGACTTGTTAGACATTTGCAATTCACAAACTCCTTGACCAAAGGTGGTCATATTATCACCTTTATGGCTTTGGCCAGCCAAGGGTGATCTTTGACCCTCCTCCTTGACAAGGAACCTAAAAGTTTACTAGAGATTTTTATGCTAAACCATGAATTGAAAGGTTGGGCTGTCCTGGTCTTATATCTGAGGGAGATTTGCAGAGGGAGTGGGATAGGCTGCCTCTTAGCCTTAAGTAGAATGTCTGAAAGCTTTCTAATGGCTATGCTGAGACAAAAAGACTAAACTAAGAATAAGCTGTTTCTTTTAGGTTTCCATAGGTACTACCTTTCAGAGTACAATTCAGGGTTAAGTATACAAATGTTCATTATGCAGGTACCCTTGATAAGGTATTGTGGCAGAGAGGGGCTAAAAACAGTTAAAATTATTCCTTTTAAAGATCAACTTGCAGGCTCCAAACCTGATAGACATGAGGCTTGAGAAAACCAAATAGCCACAAGGCACTTTCCTGGAAGTACAAGATAGTAACCAATTCACAACCTTACCCACACATCCTCTCTTTGTGAAGTTATCCTTTACAACCCCCGCTTGTTACGTATACCCTGGAGACAATTTGTTCTTTGAAAATCTGGTTTTGCTAAATACCACCTTGTAAATTACAAAGAAAAATGTATAGCCATACAACCTGATCCCCTCCCTTATCTAAACTAATGTATAAAACCCCTCTCCTCTTTCTCCTGGTTGCTCAGCCTTGGAGCATTAGCCTGCTGAGTCAGGCCGGCACTAATAAACTGCTACTTCCTAAGATAGCCTCAGTGTCATGGCCTCTGTTTTCCTGCAACAGTATGTCCCTCCCTTCCCCAGCAGAATCTTGCTACTGCCAACCCCGCACCCCCCCATACTTTTCTTTTTTGTTTGTTTTTTGTTTTAGATCCAGTCAGTAATCTCAAAACTACACAGTTCACTGCCTGACGCCACACTATTCTTGATGAACAGTGCCAGTGAGTTATAGCATCATTTGACAAACCCACAGAAGCATTTGGCTCCAAAACAGATCACTTGAGTCATCCCCAGTAACCCTAACCCTAACCCTAACCCTAATCCTCAGCCTTTGCACAGTTAAAAGTTCCCTTCCTGGAAACTGGCAACAGCACCTGCTGGCTAGGTTAAACTGTTTAACAGCTTTTTTTTCGCTTCTGTAAACCCCGCTAGCATTCCTTGAAAAGTATCTAGGCCTCCAGGGTGTTGCAGTTTAGCCCACTTGGAAAGTCCCAATGTGATTTTGCCCCATTTAAGCAAGACCCTACAGCAAATGGGGGCCCTTGCTGTGGGACTTGCATGTCTAGCAGGCAAGTGATCGCCTGCTGGCTCTTGGCTAATAAACCTCTCCTTTTTATAACTTGTACTTTTGGTGTCAGTGTCTGTGAATTAAGCGCTTGGTCCC